GCCAATTATCCGGGGTGAGCTGGCGCAGGGACTCGGGTGTCTCCTTGCTTGGGTCAGCACAGCCCGTGGGACATGGGGCTCTGCACCCCTGCCTCTGCTGCAGCCTCCCAGAAAACCCTGCAACCTCGGGAATGCTTTTCCCAGCACAGGAGAGGGTCCCTGGGTGCCGTGGGAGAGAGCAGCCTGTGCTGGTCTAGCTCATGTTCAGTGTCTCATAACAGCAGAAATGAAAATAAAGTCCTGGGCATGGGGGTGCTGTTTGACTGCTTGTGACCTGGCTGTTGTAATTATTGACACAAGCTGGCTGTTTGTCCAAAACCTGCCTTTTTCATGGTAAGAACTGGCCCCAGGCAGCGCTGACAGCTCCAAAAACCCCTGAGGTACAGCTGCCATGGCTCCCTCACTCTGGCAGCAGGCCAGTGGGACTGTGGGCACTGGAAGAGGTCACAGCTATCTGTAAAAGAATCATAACTGTTTTGCAGGATAACTGGGATGATGAGGAGGAAGAGGAGGAGGTGAAGGAGACAGAGGTAAAACAAGGTGAGATTTAAGGCTCTGTCAGCATGGGAACAGCCTCTGGGTGTGTGTGAGGATCAAACCTGAGTAGGGCTGGGTTTAACAGAAATGGCTTCAGCTCTGTGCTCAGTCCCAGGAGCTGAGCTCGGTGCCTTCCAGGGTGGCTGTGGCTGTGGGGGGGGGAAAAAAATCACCAGACTTGTGAGAGCTGCGTTTGTTGTTCCACTTTTTACAGAACCGAAAGTCTCGGAAAAAAAGAAAATAGCAGAAAAAATCAAAGAAAAAGAAAAGCTACAGAAGAAAAAGCAAGAGGAGCTTAAAAAAAGGGTAACTCCTGGTTTCTTTCTGGGTCACAGAAAATTCAGAGGGTGGGTTTGATTTGGTTTTTTGGAGGTTGAGCAAGATCTGAAAAGGTCTGGATTCATCTGATAAACCCAACTTAGGTCGTGTACGTGATCCCATCTGGGGCTGGGAGCTTTAATTCCCATATAATTTAACCAGTGATTGGATCAGTGTTACCCAGCTCCTTTGTGTGATGGAACAGGCAGCAGTGGGAGTTCGGTGGTTCTTCCCATTCCTTGTGAAATGCACAATTTGTTGAGGCTCAGGGAATGGCTTCCATGATTTCCATGTGCCCTGAGTCGAGGCAGCAGTGGGTGATTGAGTGGCTCTGGAGAAGGCACCGTGTCTGCAGCGTGCCACCCTCTCCTCTGTGCTGTCCCTGCAGTTAGAGGCACCCGAGGAACAGAAGGAGCTCACACCAGAAGAACAGTTGGCAGACAAACTACGGCTAAAGAAGTTACAGGAGGAGTCGGACCTGGAGCTGGCAAAGGAAACCTTTGGTGAGTTAAAGCAGCAGGAAATCAACCCCTGGCACCTGTGGGACCCTGCAGAGCACCAGCAGGGTTTGGCTCCCAGCACACAGAGCTCGTGGCTCTGAGAACAAAGAAGTGGCAGAGATGCTGATGCACAGCAGCATTCCTCAAACATGGAAGCGTTTCCTTGATGATGGTGAATGATTCAGCTCATTGCTCAGGAGAGGCTGTGCTCAGTGAGTTGTCACAGAGCACAGTGCTTGGGGGGTGTGCACTGGGTGCAGCTGCAGAGAACTAGCTGGGTTCTGGTTTATTCGAGGGAAGAAGGGGCTTCCTGGTGCAGGTTGTCCAGAGAACAGGAATAGCTGGGTCAAATTACTGAGTTTGACTCAGCTTTGCTGGACAAAGACTTTGGACAAGGGTGTGGAGTGACAGAACAAGGGAGAACAGCTTTCCACTGACAAAGGGCACTGTTGGATGGGATATTGGGAAGGAATTGTTCCTTGTGAGGGGATGAGGCCCTGGCACAGGTGCCCAGAGAAGCTGTGGCCGCCCCTAAATCCCTGGAAGTGCCCAAGACCATGTTGGATGGTCTTGGAGCAACCTGGGATTGTGGAAGGTGTCCCTGCCCTGACAGAGTGGCACTGGAGGGGCTTTAATGTCCCTTCCAATCCAACCCATTCAGGGATTCTATGAAATGACTGAGTTTTGCAGCAAACTTCCTTCCTTCCTGTAAGGCCAGGGATGGGCCCTGGCTGCAGGGGGAGCTCAGGGAGGTGGGAGCCAGCTCCCCTTTCACGTTCTCTGCCTGTCCCTGCAGGTGTAAATAGCACTTGTGGAATAGATGCCATGAATCCCTCTTCAAAAGATGACTTCACGGAATTTGGGAAGCTCCTCAAGGAGAAAATCACACAGTACGAGAAGTCGTTACATTACGCCGGGTTTTTGGAAGCGTTGCTTCGGGACATCTGTATTTCCTGTAAGTCCAGACAGCCCCAGCTCTGCTGCCAGAGCTGTGCTGGAGCTGGTCAGTGCTCAGAGGGGATGGCTCTGCTAGTCTGTGCTAAATGAAGCACTGACCTGCTTCCATTCCCACAAACTCCAGCCAGGGTCTTCTCCTCATGCAGGAGCTGCTCTTGCTGCACATCATCTAAAAAGTGTAAATTTTTATGCTGATCTAAACCATGAGTGTATTTATTGAAACCATTTCTAAAATAATTAGAGTAAATTCTCTGAGGCAGATAATTTGAGTACCTCATTTGGAGGGAAACCATTGCAAAATCGAGTTCATGTAATTCTGGATCTGCAGATTAACTGTTCTGGAATTCAGCGTGTAACTATACAGAGATGAAGTAATTGAAGCTCCTTTTCCCAGTGTCCTGGTGGCTGGAGCAGTGGCTGGGAAGGTTCCCTGTCCTGTGCTGTCCTTCAGTGGGGGTAACTCGATCCCAGCAGAGCTGGGCACATCCATGCTCCCAGCTGGCAGCTTCCATCTCAGAGGGATTCCAGAGCTCCAGACAGGAGGCTCTCCAGTCTCTTCCACCATTTATTGATAAACATCATAATTCCTTGTTAATCCAGTGCTCCTTTTGATACATTTTACTGTATTTTGCTGTCTCCACATTTTCCTGTTCAGATGTCTCAGTAAGACTCTTGTGCTCAGTAACTTTATTTGCAAGTTTTACCCTCTACAATGCTCAGGCTTCCAAGGAACCAGCTGGAATCCTTGTTGGGATTGTAAGGACCAGAACCACCCACTCTGTGTTCTGCTGATTTCAATCAAGTAATTGCCCATAGCTACACTAATGCTTATTTCTAGTTTTAGAGTCTGTGGATGTTATTTAACTGCCTTATAAGAACAACATTGATAAGGAATCTTTTTTTCCCCTTTTTTTTCCCCCTGATGCAGTGGAGGTGGATGATTTGAAAAAGATCACAAACACCCTGACAGTATTATGCAGTGAAAAACAAAAACAAGAGAAGGTAAGAGTGGGGCTGTTCCTCCCAGCCCTTGCTTGGGGCTCCCCTGCATTTATTAGTTACTTGTTGAGAGTCCAGGGGAAACAGGATGAAGGCCAAAGGCGGGCAGGGCTGTGGCGCAGGGAGCTGGGGGCACCTGCAACAGTCACAGCTTTCCTAGGAAGAGAAATGTGTGGGGTGGAAACCGCTCAGTGCCACGGGGCTGACCCTGGCTGGGGCAGTGCAGAGCTCTGGGCCTGTCCAAATAACCATCCTCACCCTGTTGGCACAGAATAAAGCCAAAAAGAAGAAAAAAGGTGTTGTGCCTGGCGGGGGGCTGAAGGCGACGATGAAAGACGACCTGGCCGACTACGGCGGCTACGACGGCGAGTACGTACAAGACTTTGAAGACTTCATGTGACATTTATCTCCCTTCTGTTGTCTTTCTGTTGCCCATAATCCCTTAAACATGTAGCACAACCTTTCTTCCTCTAAATTCTGCCAAATGCTACAATCAGAATTGCAGTATCTGTGTGCTGGGGGCTGGAGGTGCCGGGAGGAAGCTCCGGGCCGGGGTGGAATGGAAAAGGTCTGTAAATTGCAGTTAAAAACCCAAAATTCTGATAATGGGCACTGCTGCTATTTATAGCAACAGCCACTAAATTGGGAAGGAATTGGAACAAGGTGAAGGATTATAACCAGCACAGCTCCATGACATGGCCTTAACTGTCCCTGCTCCAGGGCCAGGGCTGAGCACGAGCAGTTTGCAGCAAGGGCAGGGTGTGCACGTAGAGTTCCAGTCGCTTTGTCTTGAGTTAGAGCTTGAGGATTTCAGTATTTTGGGAAGGGAACTGCTAACTTCAGTGTGGAATACTGCACCTGGGAGTGTGGCCCCTGGGACAGCCACTACTCCAGAGCCTGACACCTGAACAGCACCTGGTGGGGCAGAGCAAGGCAAAACCCACTTGTGTCTCCAGGATGAAGTTTAGTTCCATTCATTTAAATTTCTACTAATGCAGCTGTCTGGGTTGGGTGTTCTTTAACAGTTAATTAAGGGGTTAAGTGTAAAAGAAAAAACCAAACCACACAACATCCTTGGGGCTCTCCTGGGTTGTGGTGGGTCTCTCACGACTCGGCCGTTTTCTTTCATTAAAAACCAAACTTGCTTAGCAAACTGCAGCAGTTCCTACAGTTGGGCAAATTGTTATGTTAACAATTACAACATCTGCAATGTTTTATAAAGCAACTAATTTAATAAAAATCACTATTGAGGACTTCACCAGGCTGGCCTTGGAGCAGTTCTTTTGGGGCCTTCAGGAAAAATACCTGAAGAGGGAGAGTTGCAGAGCTGAGCTGTGCCGGGAGTGTGCCCACAGCTTGGGCATGGAAAGGAATTTCTATTTAATAACTGTAAAAATACATTTGCACTTCATTATTTCTTTTACTCCAAGACAGCAGAATTAGGAATGTGCTGTTTAAAGCAGTACAAAACTTTAGAGATCAGATTTGACTCACAGAACACATTATTCTACTGGGTACCTGAAACCTTCACTGCTTCTGCTTATTCCACCCCTTTGCCTGGACATTCTGCACATGTTTCAGCCCCCTTGGGCACAGTTCCTGGGGTGCTCCCTTCCCCTGATTTAAAGAGCTGCTGGATCTCTGCTTCACCCCCCACCTGGGCCAGACACTGTTTGCTGGTGACTCAAATAATTTATAAACAGATTTATTATACAAAACACTATTTCAGGTTAACAGTTTCAGCATTTTAAATATTTACAACCCTGTCCATTTTTCTGGAGTAACTTTTGCAGAGCAGCAGTGCCCTGGGTGCAGGTCACTGATAAAATCTGTGTCAATCAGCACTGACCCTGGGCTGGAATTTGGCTGGAATTCAGTTGGATAAGAGGTCGTTGAGGCAGCAGCCAGTCTGAGGGTCCTTCAGCAGGGAGTTCACCACATCATAGAACTTGTGGTCGTAGGCCAGCCTGTAGTAGGTGTAGATGTCCTCACAGTGGGTGAGGAACCGCTTCAGGTTCCTCAGGGCAGCGTCAGCAGGGGGATGCTGCTGGACCCTGGAGCAACAGCACATGGAACTGAGACACAGAAGCTTCCCAGGCCCCTGAGACTTGCTCTGGGCCTGCAAGAATGACATTTTCAACAGGAGGTTGTACTCAACACCTACATTTGAACCTCCTGGTTGTTTATTTGATCTGATTCATTTCAAAGATTGGTCTGGCCAGCCCTGAGCTCCCTCCTTGTCCAGCTCAAGGACAAGGCTGGATCAGAGTGATTCCATGCTGTGCTCAGGAACCAAACCAACAAATCCTCCCCTGGCAGGGTGGGCAGGCCCTGGCACAGGTGCCCAGAGCAGCTGGGGCTGCCCCTGGATCCCTGGCAGTGTCCCAGGACAGGCGGGACAGTGGGAGGTGTCCCTGCCATGGCAGGGGTGACACTGGCTGGGCTTTAAGGTCCCTTTCCCACCCAAACCATTCTGGAATTCTATCTCAAGTCCCCTGTATGAAACCTTCCCCTGTAACAGGTTTATCAGTTTAATAACCCTTTCCTCCTGCCCCTCTCAGGGCCTGCAGTTTTCCCCCTGACCCTCACTCACCTCTTGGCCACCTCCTCGAACAGGCTGGGCCGCAGTGGCCGCTGCTGCTTGAACTCCTCCAGGTACACGAAGTCACCCCTGGTGATCACCTGCTGGAACAGAACCTCAGCCCAGTCCGGCAGGAACTCGTAGGCCTCGGCCACGATGGCTGCCTGCAGGGAGAGCAGGAACAGGGATTGCACAGAACATTCCACACACACCTCACTACTGGGATCTTCAGTTTGAGCCAGCCCTGCTGCTGTTGAGAGCAGCTGTGAAATACAGGGTAACAAAGCACTGTGAACAACCTTCCTCAGCCCCTGAGCAGGGACACCTCCCCCTTTCCCAGGCTGCTCCCAGCCCTGTCCAGCCTGGCCTGGGACATTCCAGGGATCCAGGGGCGGCCCCAGCTGCTCTGGGCACCTGTGCCAGGGCTGCCCACCCTCCCAGGGAACAATTCCTGCCCAAGATCCCATCCATCCCTGCCCCCTGGCACTGGGAGCCATTCCCTGTGTCCTGTCCCTCCATCCCATATATCCCACAGGATACAAGGTTGGGGTAACAGCCACAGGACACAGAGGCCAGGAGGAGCTGGGACACTGCAGTGACACAGTCACTCCCCCCAGAAGGACCCCAGCTCACCTGGTAGAACCTGGGCAGGGCCAGGATGGCTCCAGGCAGGTCCTGCCTGCCCAGGTTGATGATCCTGGTGCTCTGGCCCAAGGCCAGGAAGTGCAGCTGCAGCGTGATGAGCCGCGTCAGGCGGCGGCAGCGCAGCGCCTGCCGCACACACGAGTCCTGCAACACAGCAGTGAGAGCTGCAGGGCAGCCTGGACACAGCCCTGAGAGCAGGAGTCCTGCAACACAGCAGTGAGAGCTGCAGGGCAGCCTGGACACAGCCCTGAGAGCAGCTTGGGCTCTGCAGTGACTGAGAGCACTGCAGCCTCCTGTTCATCGTATCCCATGAGCCTTAAACAAAGCTTCACTCCCACAAATGCTTCCATCATTATTGCACTTGGCTTTAAATACTTGATTTGTTCTATCCTTGCTAATTAAGCTCACGGTCCCTGCTCTGACAGTGGGGAACCCACCTGTAGCCCCAGGGGTTAAAGGCTGAGCAGGGCCAGCATGGCACGCTCAGCTACAGCCGTGCTGCAGAGACACAGAGCCAGGAGCCTGCACGCCCTCCCTGGGGCAGCTCTGTGTTCTCCCAGCCCAGCCCACTCCCCACGAGCTCCCAGCACTGCCCACAAGTCCTTCTGTTCCATCTCACTTTACCTTGGAGTAACTTTCTGCTGCATCAATGAAGAGAGTCAGAGCTTTCAGCAGCAGCTTCTTTAAATTTGCAACATCCTGAAGAGACTCCTCTGAAACAGAAAAAGGAGGAATAACCATTTATTCATAAAGTTACAAAACTCCCTCCCAGTGCCAAGTCTGCCCCTGGTGTTGTCTCAGAAAGCACCACCAAACTGAACCAAAACTGATGAATTAAAACAGTAGGAAGGAACACACTGCCTGTTCAGCTGATGGATCAAAGCTTTGCTACAGCCTGGTCGAGTGACTGGAGACTGGAAAGAAACCCCAAGCACACGTTTGTGGCAGATCCCAGCACTGACCATGGGCAGATCCATTCAGAAACCCCCTGGCACAGCTCCCGCTGTCGCTGCTGCTGCAGCAGGGGCTGCCCAGGCCGCAGAGCTCAGCCCATGGGTGCCACACACAGAGCCCAGCATTCACAGGAGCCCTGCCAACCCAGCTGGGTCTGTCCCTGCCCCAGGGGAGCCACCGGGGCAATGTCACACCAGGAGCGAGCCCTAAATCCCACCCTCTGCAAACACAGGGGACCTCCCCTCGCTGCCTCCCCGCTCACCCCAGGGCCGGCACTCGATGAGTTTGAGCTGGGTGGAGGCAGCAGCCTCGTGGTTCTGGCCGATCTCCCTGCACATGCTGAAGCACAGCGCAATCATGTTGTGCTTCTCGCTGTCTCCGGGCCGGCAGCGCTTGGTGTAGTCCAGCAGCGCCACCTTCAGCGTCCCGCTCTGGGCACACAGGGCACACTGAGCACGGCTCCAGCCTCCTCCTGCACCCACCATCTCCCACAGTGCACCCCAAAACCCAACAGCACCCTCACACCCGCTCAGCCGGGCACCAAAACCCAGCACCGACACAAATGTCAAAACCTGACCTTTCTCTGTGACTCAAACAAAGCTATGAGGATTTATGATTTCTTAAAGCCCCCGTGAAACTTTAACTGCAAATAAAGCAGGATGTGAAAACACTGACAATGCCAAGTTTAAGTTTCAATGCTGCATTCGTAGCCCTGAACTAATTAGGGAAAAACGGTTCAACTAAAATGAGAATAAACCCCAGCATTAATTTACTTCTGTGAAAGCTGACTCTCGATTCCTGCACTCAGGAAGTCAAATGCCCAGACAATTTCATCCTGTGCTTCTGATGCAGCCACACAATTCCCTGCACCTTTGTCCCTCACGTACCGGGTCCAGTTTCTTCCTCATGAGCACCTCGAAGTAGTGTTTGTGGTGCAGCAGCTCGAAGATGTAGGTCATCTCATTGTACCTGCCGATGCCGGTCAGCAGCCGCACCTGGGGGCAGCCAGGGCGCGTCAGGAGCTCCCCAGGCACGGCAGCTGCAGGCACTGCCGTGGAGCCACGGGGGGACTCCCAAACCAGCCCAAACTGCATCGCTTCAGCACAGAAAAACGGGCAGGGAGGCTTTCAGCGCTGACCCCGCGCCACTGGGCACGTCCCAGGCTCCAGGAGTTCCTTCAGGATGCCAAAGAGCCCCTGCCCCACAGAGCAGCATTTCCCCAGCAGCTGGATCACCTGGGTACAGGTACAGCCCCACAGCCCAGCCCCACAGGCACTCACCACCAGCCCATACTCCTCCCTGGGAGCCAGGTGCTCCTCGGTGAGCAGCCGAGCCGCCTGCAGCACGCGTGTGATCCCCTCCATGTGGCACGTCAGGCTGAAGCAGCTGTGGGCCAGGATCAGCAGCTCTGTGACTGAGGAGCAGAAGAATTCTGCTATTTCAGTTGAAAGGGCTGAGGAAGTGAATTACTGCCTCTCTCCAGAAGAGAAAACACAAAATGCACACAAAGCACAGAACTTGCAGCCTCCTCCAGGAGAAGCTGAGAAATGTGTAACACATCATCACTGCACTGCCTGCCAGCTCTGTGCTTGCAAAAGGAAGGACACGAGTTTTGCATCTGGGTTTGAAAAATCCCTTTTCTAACTGTGATGAATATGAACAAAGTCACAGTGCCCCTTCTCAAACAAACCACCACGACAGCTCAGGTCACTCCCTGACTGCATTTCCCACCTCCTTCTCAGCACAGAAATCTGAATTTTGTTCAGATAACAACCCCCTACACAATGCCCTTATCTACTGTGCATATGCTCAGCCCTACAAACGGAATATCAAACTTGAGATCAGCAGCAGAGCTCCCTTTGAGCTGTGAGTTTAAGCCAACAATGCCACGGTAGTTACACACAGGTTACACCAGGTAGGATTTCCCATGTACTCACTGCAGGACAGCTCCCCACTGGGGACAGAGGAGATTTTATCCAGTAACTTCATCCCAACCAAGGTGTGATCCTGGCACAGCTTGGCAAGCTGCAGGAGTGCCTGGCTCTCCACTGCAGGGTTCCAAACCTGCTTCTGCCCTGTGGCCAGAGAGAGAAATCTGTCACCACTGCTAATTATGCAGGAGAGAACTCCTATTATTGTTTATCATTAATTAACAACCCCCAAACAAACCAATCTGACATCATCCAGACTGACTGAGGTCTTGGGACTACAATCCTAAAGACACTTTGGGTGTTACTGCTTAAATTTAACAATCAGAAAATACTTTTTTGCCAGTTCAAATCAATAAAATCCTACTGGACAGCCACACAGCTGTCCCTCGTTTCCCAAAGGAAAAAAGGAAAGGGAAAACCTTCTGCTTTACACAGGGAAATGCACATGATATTCCCAAGTCAGATCATGTGGGGCAGCAAAGACCACTGTTAAAAATCCTTTTTTTAAAAAAAACCTAAATTTATGTCCATAAAAATACAACCTTAACTACTGCAACACCACACTGGACACAGGAGTAACTACAAATGAACGTTTGTACAGAACTTTACATCAGGCAGGCGTTGCTCACAGGGCAGAGCTGCTCAGACACCCCTGGCTGTGCTGAGCTCTCAGGGACCAAAGCCCAGGTGTGTCCCCACCTTTTCCCTGTGCCGAGGCCAGCAGCTCCTGGGTGATCTGCTGTGCCAGCAGTGGTGCCACAGTGGCAGGGGACAGCCCCTGGCAGGTGATGAAGGCCTGGGCTCTGCGGCTGCGCTCCGGCCCCCGCCGGGCCAGGATGGCCCCCAGCACCTCCCGCGGCTCCCGCGCCGACACCTCCCCGAAGGAACAGCTCAGCTCCTGCAGGAACACCCAAAATCCCACTCAGAGCATCCCCCACCAACACCTCCCCGAAGGAACAGCTCAGCTCCTGCAGGAACACCCAAAATCCCACTCAGAGCATCCCCCACCAACACCTCCCCGAAGGAACAGCTCAGCTCCTGCAGGAACACCCAAAATCCCAGTGAGAGCATCCCCCACCAACACCTCCCCGAAGGAACAGCTCAGCTCCTGCAGGAACACCCGGAAAGGAAGAGGCAGGGTGAACAGACCTGCTGGGGAGGCTGTGGAAAGGCCACCAGACAGAGCCAGGCTCTGAGCTGGGCTGGGCTCTGAGCAGGGACTGGCCAGGCTGACAGCCCAGCTCACCCACACCATGCCCAGGCCCCTCTGGCCTTTTTCCACACAAAGGGCTGGATTTTCACCCTCTGCAGCTCCTCCAGGCCCCTGCTGAGGACCTTCCCCATGCCCAGCCTTACCTTGGAGAGCTCGTAGAGGCACAGCACCTGCCGGCAGTAGCCCCTGCCATGGACACACTCCTCTGCCAGAGCCTTCAGCGCTGCCACCACGGCATCGTCCCCACTCGGGGCCCCCAGAGGGGTCCACTCCTCCAGGCTGGGTGCTGGAAACAAAAAAACATCAACTCCTATCTCATGAAGGCACACAGCTCCCTTAGACCTGGGCAAAGCTCCCCAAATCTGCAGCAACCACGTGATACTTGCTCAGTCTTTGAAAACCGAGCTCTTGACACCTTGATTTTTAAATTTAACATTTGTTTCAATGTAACAGAACACAAACATCCCCAGTAATATCTCAGATATAAAATTTCTAAGCATTAGATTGAATGAGGGTTCTGCAGCCTTCCCGATGGGTCAGGATTCATTTATGCTCTTCTGTCTATTCAGCTTTACACATCAGCATGAGAAAGAGATGTTCCAGCTGAAACTCACTCAGACTTCACAAACATGCAGAGAACTTTACAGACAGACATTCTCAGCCTTAGCCTTGCTATTAAACAAGAAACACTAAACCCCTCAGAATGCAAAAGAGTCAGGAAAGGATATTAATTAAAGCATCTCCCTGCTTCAGCTACAGAAAAACAAAGTTAGCAGAGTGTGTTTTCTAAAGGCAGGAGCAGGGCTGAGGCCCAGTGCTGCTTTACTGGGCCAGAACTGAGAGCAAAGGTAACAAAGGGGAGGTTTGGGATCTGTGGCAGCTGTTCACAGAACAGCCTGCCTGGAGCACACCGCGCCTCCAACTGCTGTCACGACAGCATTCAGGAACCAGGGAGAGCAAGCAGGGAGAGCCAGATTTCTGCAGCAGTTTCGGGGAGATGCAAAGAGAGGGGAGGCAGGGCAGGGAGTCACTCACTGCTGGGGGCTCCGCTCGCCGCGCCGCCCTCGCCTGTCCCGGCCCCGGCCGCCAGCAGGGCCCGCACCTCGGGCTGCAGCTGCTCCCGCCCGGCCTCCCCCGAGGCCAGCGCCCGGCAGTGCAGCGCCAGCGACACGTCCCGGGGCCACAGCTGGAAGTACTGGCACACTCGGGCG